CCCCCAAAAAAAAATCGATGAGCAAGACGTGCATGCGAAGCATCGATTATGCAGAAAGAGGTTATCTGACCCCCCTCCCAATTCTTTTATTCAAGTTGGCACCCCAAAGGGGCTGCAACGGAGAGGTCGGCACTTCTGGAAGGGAGGCGGGGTTCAGTCCAGAAAAGGACCCCCCCCCGTCATTTATTTTTTTGCCGGGAGGGGGGATCCTTTTCCCAAGTCACGCATGGACCAGTCGAGGTTGGGAAGGGAAGGGGGTTGCGCGTGGAGGAGACGAGGAGGCGACGCGTGTCAGCGTCACGTGGGGAGGGGGGCGCTCCCCCTCTGCCTCTTTTGCATTCTGGCTCCGCGCTCAGGGCTGCTAAAAATAGCCTTCCTCTCCCTCTCTCTCTAACCCCCCCCAACTATGTCGCAGAGAGAGAGGGGGAGATGGATGGGGGGGAGAAGGGAGCGGCTGTGATGGCGCAGGGATGTCATAGCAACGCCTTACTGGTTGCCCCCCCCCCTTTCAAAAGGATGCAAAGGGGAGGAAGGGGATTTGGAGGGGGGGGGAGAGACAGATGAGAGGCTGATGGACGGAGAAAACTGGGGGTCTCTACTGTGGGAGGGGGGCGCAGATGCGGACTGGGGGGCATAGCTGTCCCTTTCCTTGCGAGGAATCCTATTTGTAATAAGGGAATTTCCCTTGAAAAATAGGGAAACGTTGACAGCTAGGGTTCCTGGACCTGGGATGGGGGTGGGGAGTGTTTGTTTGGGGAGGGCGTTATTGTATTTTAGAGTTTTGTTGGAAGCTGCCCAGAGTGGGCGGGGTATAAATGAAAAATTGTTATTATTATTATATTGGGGTTCAGCACCCAACGCCCTGGGTGGGTGCAGTTAGACTCCAGAGGCCGGCGAAGAATATTCCCCCCCCCGCAAGAGTCCAAAAATCCAACAAGCAGCATGAGACAGGGAGCACCTTCAGCCGGGCTTCCTTGCTCAAAGGCACTCTGCACATGCTCAGGGGCCCTGCGTCCTCCTCCCCTTAGTGCCACTAAGGAGCCCGGGGGTCAGCAGACTTTTTCAGCAGGGGGCCGGTCCGCTATCCCTCAGGCCTTGTTGGGGGCCGGACTATATTTGGGGGAAAATACAGTAATGAAGGAATTCCTATGCCCCACAAATAACCCAGAGATGCATTTTAAATAAAAGGACACATTCGACTCGTGTAAAAACACGCTGATTCCTGGACCATCCGCGGGCCGGATTGAGAAGGCGATTGGGCCAGATCCGGCCCCCGGGCCTACCCATGGTCTAGCCCAACGTCCAGTTTTATGCCCAACGCGCGTCTCGAACCCGAGACCCTGAGATTATAAGAGCCTACCAACTGAACTCTCTGTTTGTTCTGGAGGGGCGAGAGGGAAGGCCTTGGCTCAAGTCAAGTTCGGGGTGTAGTGTGGGAGCCGGTGGTGAGGTGCAGTGGTTAGAGCGCCGGACTCGGGTCTGAGTTCAAATCCCCTTTATAAGCCTCACCTACCCCACAGGGATGTTGTGGGGATGAATGGAAGAATGGAAGAACCATGTACACTCCGCTTTGAGCTCCTTGGAGGGGAAAAGGTGGGATATAAACACAACAAACAAACAAATAGTTCTTCCTCCTTACTTTCCTAAATTGTGATATGTTGGTCTGGAGGAAGGAAGTGGAGGTTCCCCATCGCAGAGATCTTTCCCCCTCTAAATAATAATAATAATGAATAAATAATTTTTATTTATACCCCGCCCTCCCCAGCCAAGACCGGGCTCAGGGCAGCTAACACCAGCTATAAAAACAATGGATTAAAATACAACTTAAAAACGAGATTAAAACGCAACATGCAAATGCAACCTCGTTTCAGTAGAAAGTAAAATCAAAAACTTTTGGGGGGATGAAAACGAGGCATATATATATAAAAAGGTAAAGGTACCCCTGCCCGTACGGGCCAGTCGTGTCCGACTCTAGGGTTGTGCGCCCATCTCACTCTAGAGGCCAGGAGCCAGCACTGTCCGGAGACACTTCCGGGTCACGTGGCCAGCGTGACGAAGCTGCTCTGGCGAACCGGCACCAGCGCAGCACACGGAAACGCCATTTACCTTCCCGCTATAAAGCAGTACCTATTTATCTACTTGCACTTAGGGGTGCTTTCGAACTGCTAGGTGGGCAGGAGCTGGGACCGAGAGACGGGAGCTCACCCCGCCGCGGGGATTTGAACCGCCGACCATGTGATCGGCAAGCCCTAGGCGCTGAGGTTTTACCCACAGCGCCACCCGCGTCCCTTCATATATATATATATATATATATATATGCATATAGATCGATAGATATAGATATATGCAGATATTTATATATAGAAATGCAGATAAATATATATATATGCAGATATATATATATAAATGAATATATATATGTGCAGATATATATATATATATATATACATAAATTAATGAGGCCAGGTGAGTGCTGAGCAAGAGCCACTCTGTGCATGCTCAGAGGCCCTCGCCACGCAGCCCACTGGCAAAAAAGAAATGTCAGCAACCATGTGCTACGAGTGGGGAGGGGGGCGTTATGGGACGATTTGGGCTAAAAATAGGTTTTGGGGCTGAGCCCGGGCGAACTGCGGCTCCAGCCAGGCGTTTAACATTCCTGCTCCGTAACCTGCGGCAGCCGGAGGTGCCTTGTGGGGTTTCTGAGGCGCCTCCTTCCCTGTTCATTTATATTCTCCGGTGACAGGCATGGATAATTTATACGCTGGCAGTGGCAGATTAAAAGCTGCTTCGCTTCCTCTCAGCACAGGGTGTTTGCTCCGAGCCCCACTCCTGCCTCTCGGCTGGGGAAAGGACCCAGGCGTCCGGGCTGAGGCTCACCCCCCCCCCCAAATCATCTGGGGAAAAAAGGCCTCACTCAGGGGTAGAGCACCTCTCTGTCTAACCCAGGGGTCAGCAGACTTTTTCAGCAGGGGGCCGGTCCACTGTCCCTCGGACCTTGTGGGGGGCCGGACTATATTTTGGGAAAAAATAATAAATGAATTCCGATGCCCCACAAATAACCCAGAGATGCATTTGAAATCAAAGGACACATTCTGCTCATGTAAAAACACGCTGATTCCTGGGCCATCCGCGGGCCGGATTGAGAAAGGCGATTGGGCCGGATCCGGCCCCCGGGCCTTAGGTTGCCTACCCACGGTCTAACCTACCTGGCAAGCAGCCTCATTTTAAAAGTAACTGATAAATCAAAACCATAAGGCGGAAGAGCTCTGTCCTGCAGGCCCTGCAGAAAGATGTCAAGTCCCGCAGGGCCCTGGTCTCTTGGGACAGAGCATTCCACCAAGTCGGGGCCAGTACTGAAAAGGCCCTGGCTCTGGTTGAGACCAATCTAACCACCTTGAGGCTCAGGACCTCCAAAATGTTGTCATTTGGGGACCTCTCCGCGGGGCATACCAGGAGAGGAGGTCCCGTAGGTACGTGGGTCCTAGGGCACATAGGGCTTTAAAGGTCAAAACCAGCACCTTAAAACCTGACCCTGTACTTCAGCAGCAATGGCAATAGCCAAAGGAAGATCTCTTGCTGGCCCTTTGGCTAGGTTTCTTTTGGGGGACTGGAGGGAGACTGGTTCTTGGGATTCTGCCACTTATAGAACAAAAGTGTGTGTGTGTGATATATAAAGATAAAGGGACCGACTCTGGGGTTGCGGCTCTCATCTCGCTTTACTGGCCGAGGGAGCCGGCGTCCAGCTTCCGGGTCATGTGGCCAGCATGACTAAGCCGCTTCTGGCGAACCAGAGCAGCGCACGGAAACACCGTTTACCTTCCTGCCAGAGTGGTACCTATTTATCTACTTGCACTTTGACGTGCTTTCGAACTGCTAGGTTGGCAGGAGCAGGGACCGAGCAACGGGAGCTCACCCCGTCGCGGGGATTCGAACCGCCGACCTTCTGATCGGCAAGCCCTAGGCTCTGTGGTTTAACCCACAGCGCCACCCGTGTCCCATGCTCAAGCTGATGAAACACTGTAGTTAAATAACCACAAGCAGCAACCACTTTTCAGCCAAAACGAAGTCCAAGCTACGAAGATGCTACCCCAGGCAGAGACACTCAGTTCAGCGGCCGCGAGGAGGATGGCTGCAGAAGGGCCCGAGGCTCCTGCCAGTCACAGCAGGGAGGGGCTCCCGGGGGCCGAGGCTGGTGAGAGGAGGCCGGAGGGGGGCGGGCCAGGCAGCCAAGCAACACAGTTGGAGCTTCCCTCCTCCCTGGCCGGCAGGGAGGGAGGGAGAGGAGCTGCTTCCTTTGAAACCCGGGAAATTTAAGGGACATCATCAATAAGGGACAGCAGCGGGACACGGCGCTGGGATAAGGGACTGTCCCGCCAAATAAGGGACGGTTGACAACTATGCGCCCCACCCCGTAATTTCCGTAACAGTGCATCTTGTGTCCTGCGGTTTTATGGCGTGAACTGCCCTGAGACCTGTGGGTATAGGGCCTTGTACAATTTTTAATCAACCCCATCAACATCAGTGCTATTTTTCCAGAAAAAGAGGTGCCAGAACTCACCACGAACGAACTCACCTTGTTCTTTCATAATGGCGATGGTGGCCACCTGAAAATAATAATAATAATAATAATAATAATAATAATAATACCACCAGAAAGTTATTTCTGATGTTCAGTTGGAATCTCCTTTCTTGTGACTTGAGGCCCTGGGTTCAAGTCCTCCCTTCCAGCAGAAAACAAGCTTCCTTCATCCTTCGTGTGACAATGTTGTAAATAAAAATTGCCCTTTTCCCTTATGGGGTACCCAAGAGCCCATATAGAGTCCTTACATAGGTTCCCTATTGGTAGGAGAGAATAACAGAGGCCAACCAGAGAATATTGAAAAGCAAAGCAGCTAGTAAGCTTGACCTTTATTGAACTGTTGCAACAGGGTCCTCGCTCATCACACGCAGGAGAGAGGAGGGACCCAGAAATATGGCGCGCAAGGCCTTATAAAGACTTTTGAAATTGCCACCCTGTAGATCAAGACCACCCCCAGATACATCATACCTACATCACTGAAAAGGCGGTCTACAACAGAAATTTGAATGCTGTTTTTCTCCTGTCCTTGTTTATCTCCTGTCTGGCAGGTTACTTGATTGGATTGCCTGGGGAGCCTGGCCAGTCTTTTGTAGTGATAAATACTTAGTTCCTGGGCCAGGTCACAGGCTCACACCCTATTCAAACACAGACATACCCTTAAGACAGGATTTGTGAAGGAAAAGACAATGGGGAGGCTTTTCCACTTTGACCTTGCAGAGAAAACATTTGCTCAGTTTGGGAATCAAAATGGTTCCAGGTTGGTCTTCCTGTGCTGATCTGTGTACGTGCTTGGCTGGTACATTGATGAACATTTAACATATATCTAAGACCTCAAAATTCCTATCACAATATCTCTTGAGATTGTGCTGGGCCCGGGGTTAACCCAAGTAGCGTGGTCCAGGTCTGGTCCCAAATCCAAGGGTTACACTAGGAGTCAGTCCGGCAGAGCCAAGGCAGGACACGAGGCAGGAAACTAGGCAAGGTCAGGCACAGGATCACAGCAATGTTGGCAAACAGCAACGTTGCTCCCGCAACCTGGGGCGGGGTCCGACAGCCTTTTATCTCTGTCGGGGTAACGGCCGGTCCTGATCCCCCGGTGACTCACCTCCCTGTCTCGCCCGAAGGTGAGCACTCCTCCTGCGAGTACTCAGGTCTCTCCTTCTCTCAGACCTTAGTCTCTGCAGCTCGGGAGACGTCGGTGGGTTACTAGACCCAGAGGCCGCCTCAGCCTCCCCTGACCCAAGCGGTAGTGGAGCAGCTGTAAGTGATGGCCCAGCTGAAGGCAACAAGGTACCGTATTTTTCGCTCTATAAGATGCACTTTCCCCCTCCTATAAAGTAAGGGGAAATGTGTGTGTGTCTTATGGAGCGAATGCAGGCTGCGCCGCTGTCCCGGAAGCCAGAGCAGCAAGAGGCTATCCCAGAAGCCAGATCCCTGTTGCTGTTTTGGCTTCTGGGATTCAGAATATTTTTCCCTTGTTTTTCTCCTCTAAAAACTAGGTGCGTCCTATGGTCTGGTGCATCTTATAGAGTGAAAAATACGGTAATCCCCGCATCTGGAGCCAGGGCAGGCTCAGGCCCCTGACTCAGCCCAGCTGGTGCTTGTTGCAGGGGAACCTGTGCAGACTGGGACTCTTCAGGATCAGGCCCCAGACTTGGTTCAGATGCCGCCTGGGGCAAAGGATCCGGTGCGGACTGAGACTCCTCTGGCTCCAAGTCCGAGCCTGAGTCCCAGGCCATCACTGAGATATTTGAAGATGGCTCTCAGCCTCCTCTTTTCCAGGTTAAACATACCCAGATCCCTCGACCGATCTTCATAAGGCTTGGTTTCCAGACCCTTGATTTTGATCCCCGTCCTCTGCACATATTCCTGCTTGTTGATACCCTTCTTAAACTGAGGCGCCCAGAACCGGGCACAGAAATCCAGGTGGGGTTTGACTTCATCGCATTTCCATCCAGATCACCTATCAGCTATTTACTGAACACTCCTTCTGTTTGCGGGACGCGGGTGGCGCTGTGGGTTAAACCACAGAGCCTAAGGCTTGCCGATCAGAAGGTCAGTGGTTCGTATCCCTGCGACGGAGTGAGCTCCCGTTGCTCGGTCCCTGCTCCTGCCAACCTAGCAGTTCGAAAGCACGTCAAAGTGCAAGTAGATAAATAGGTATCGCTCCGGCGGGAAGGTGAACGGCGTTTCCGTGCGCTGCTCTGGTTTGCCAGAAGCGGCTCAGTCCTGCTGGCCACATGACCCGGAAGCTGTACGCCGGCTCCCTCGGCCAGTAAAGCGAGATGAGCGCCGCAACCCCAGAGTTGGTCATGACTGGACCTAATGGTCAGGGGTCCCTTTACCCTTTACCTTCTGTTTGCAGCAAGGTTGGATGACATTGTGTCGAAGCAATGGCGCCTGTATCTATCACTTTTTCCTTATCACAAAAATAATAATTGAAAAATCTGGGTCCGAGCTTAGAGAGATGCCCAGGCCATGAGCACAGTCTACCCCTCCTTGCTGCTTGGTCCAGTAGACTGCCTCTGATCCTGAAGGCTCTGCATATTCACTGCAAGCAGCAGCTGCAAATTGGCGCCCGGGAATTATTCAGATGAAATTAACAGAGCCGGAATTTTATTGTGCTTCGGAGAATTGAGCAGAGTGCACAGAGGTCTACCAAATACACACAGACACCGGTCGACAAGGAAAGGCTTGCTTCCTCCTTCCCTTATGGGGTATCCAAGAGCCCATATAGAGTCCTTACGTGGGTTCCCTATTGGTAGGAGAAAATAACAGAGGCCAACCAGAGAATACTGAGAAGCAAAGCAGCTAGTAAGCTTGATCTTTATTGATCTGTTGCAACAGGGTGCTCCCCTCACACGCAGGAAAGGAGGAGGACCCACAAAAATGTTGTGCAAGGCCTTATAAAGACTTGAAATTCCCACCCTGTAGATCAAGACCACCCCCAGAAACATCATACATACATCACAGAAGGGGTGTAACCTAAGACCGCCCCTCAGATACATCACACCTACATCACAGAAAAGGCGATCTAAAACAGAACATTTGAATGTTGTTTTTCTCCTCTTGTTGTTTATCTCCTGTCTGGCAGGTTACTTGATTGGATTTCCTGGGGAGCTTGGCCAGTCTTTTGTAGTGATAAATACTTAGTTCCTGGGCCAGGTCACAGGCTCACACCCTATTCAAACACAGACATACCCTTAAGACAGGATTTGTGAAGGAAAAGACAATGGGGAGGCTTTCCCAGTTTGACCTTGCAGAGAAAACATTTGCTCAGGTTAGGAATCAAAATGGTTCCAGGTTGGCCTTCCTGTGCTGATCTATGTATGAGCTTGGTTGGTACACTTATGAACATTACCATATATCTAAGACCATAAAATTCCTATTACACAGTCGCTTCTTCCACTTGTCCTTTGCAATATTTCCCTCCTTCTTCACCTCTTCGCAGCTCAGGCCTCCATCTCGGGGATGTTTGCAAGCGGAAGTTTACATAAGGATAACAGAATATCCCCTGACGCTCGCCCGGCCATCTGGCTTCTGCGGAGCCTGGTTTCGCTGCCTCGAAAACCCTTCTTTGCATCTCTCGTGCCTTTACGCTCCCGTCTTTGAAATGGGCACATGGAAAGGCCTCGTCTTCAGGGGCTGGGGCTTGGGGGCCCAACGCAGACCTCCAAAGGCTCTCCAAATAGAGGTCCTCTTTCAGCAGAGCCGCTGTGGGCAACCTCAGGGCCAGAATGCGGCCCTTCAGACCTGCCTGCCTGGCCCTCAGAATGCTCCCCAGGCCCTGCCCAGTCTCTCCAGGCCCCGCCCCTCGCAGGCCCCATTTCCCTCCCGGCTTGAATGTTTCTTTTTTCTTTTAATATAATTTTTTATTAGTTTTTTTTAAACATATCATTTTCAACAGCAATTAAACATACTTTTACATCTTATTCAATTTTTTTGACTTCCATCAATCCTGTCTGAAAATTTCCCAATCTAATCTCTCAGTATGCATTTCTTATCTTCCCTATTACATTTCAAACACATAACCAATATCTCTATCTTTTTCTACTTTGTAACACTTCGTATATTTCGAACTTCCGGAGGCGGCGCCAGCGATTAATGGCGGATTTCCTCCACCGGAGGAAATCTCACCGCGAATTAAGGGTCGGATCCCGCTTTCGGCGTAGCGGGGGACCCCCAAAAATCACAGGCGGGAGAAGCCTGTGAGCCTGGGACCCAGCGGGCACATTTGGCGCCCCCCCCAACCCAGTAAGAAGCCTGGCAACGGGCTTAGAAGCGGAGCGGGGAGAGCGCTGTGCTGTGGGCTGTCTGCTCGTTCGTGGTGTGAAGCCGCAAGCTGTTGATCGGAGAGCGCTGCCTTTCTTCCTTAAAATTCGGACTGGAAATCAACGATCCGTGAGTAGGATACAATTTAAATTGGAACTGTACAAAACTGGAATTTGGCCGAAAACGGAAAGAGGCTTAAAAAGGAAGTCAGCCTCTTTATTTGTAAATAAAATAAAGCATTGAACTTGAAAGCGGAAGCAATTGAAAAGTACGTTTTAGCGGACTTTAATCCAATCATCCAACCTGGACTTTTCCCTCTCTAAATTGAGGGAAAAGGGGGGAGAATTGTGGATGTGATTTCTTCATAAAGAGTGGAAAAGAAGGGATTGAACCACCACTCAACTTCCTGGGAAAGGATCTCCAGATCTCAGGAAAGCAAGAGAGGTACTGTCTTGTAATATATTTTGACAGCTAGTCCTGCACAGGAAATAAAAGTTGGGACAATTTAAACAAAGTGCGAGACTGGCTTCATTATTATCAAATAATGGAGGTATTTAAATTGGACAGGAAAATTGGCTTCCAGGTGGAAAGATCCAAATTAGAAACAGAATTGTTAGAACCCAATACTAAGAACTTGTCAAGAATGTATAACTTGCTGCTGAAATGGAATACTCAAGATGAAACGGTGAAATCGGCTATGATTAAATGGGCACAGGACGTTGGCCATAACATTATGTTTGCTGACTGGGAACAGTTATGGACCACAGGTATGAAATTTACGGCATGTAATGCCTTAAGAGAGAATATTATGAAAATGATATACAGGTGGTACATAACCCCAGTCAAGCTTACGAAAATCTATCACTTGCCCGATAACAAATGTTGGAAATGTAAAGAAACTGAAGGTACATTTTTTCACCTTTGGTGGACGTGCCCAAAGATTAAGGCTTTCTGGGAAATGATATATAATGAATTAAAAAAGGTATTTAAGTATACCTTCCCTAAGAAACCAGAGGCCTTTCTCCTGGGCATAGTCGGCCAAATGGTGTTAAAAAAGGATAGAACTTTCTTTATGTATGCAACAACAGCAGCAAGAATACTCATCGCAAAGTACTGGAAGACACAAGAACTTCCCACGCTGGAGGAATGGCAGATGAAATTTATGGATTATATGGAACTGGCTGAAATGACTGGTAGAATCCGTGACCAGGGAGAAGAGTCGATGGAGGAAGACTGGAAGAAATTCAAAGACTATCTTCAGAAACACTGCAAAATTAAGGAATGTTAGAGTGATGTTGGACTGAAAACAAGTGGTTTCCAGCTGCACAGGCTAAAGTTAAGGATAGATTAAGATTAAAGATCAAGATTAAAGATGTTTAAAGAAATGGAAATTTGATATTAAAAGGGAAAACTTTAAAGTTATATGATATTAAGACATTAAGATTAAGGATTAGGTTTAAAAAAGTTGAAGTTATATATTTTAACATTTTATTAAATTAAAGATTGGGATTAAAAAAGTGGAAAAGAAACTGCTGGACAAATAATGTGGACTGGAATACAAAAGAGGGAGGTATGAGGAAGTCTAGAAAATAAGTAATTTAAAATTGGAAATGGAAAAGAGAGTTTGTTTTTAATTGTTGTGTTTTGTGTTTTTATTGTTAAGTTTTGTATTGTTTTTTGTGTGTGTTGTTTTGTTGTTTAAAACTTTAATAAAAAATTATTATTAAAAAAAAAAACACTTCGTATATTTCTCCTTACAAAACCTCTTGTAGTCCTACTAGCGTAATTTGCTGATTACAGTTGCTCTTCAAACAGTTCGTATATTTCTTCCAATCTTCTGTGAATCTCTGGTCCCGCAGGTTTCGAATCCTTCCTGTCATTTTGTCCAATTCTGCCTAATCATTAATTTCGTCTGCCATTCTTCTTTCGTCGGAAGTTCTTCTTGCTTCCATTTCTGGGCTATCAATACTCTTGCCGCAGTTGTTGACTATAAAAACAATTTAACATCTTGCCTATTAATGTCCTGACCTATAATACCAAGTAAAAATGCCTCTGGTTTTTTTAAGAATGTCTATTTCAACATCTTTTCATCTCATTATATATCATTTCCCAGAAGTTCTTTACTTTTTTACACTCCCACCACATATGATAAAATGTTCCTTCTCCGGCTTGAATGTTTCTGCTTGCCTGGAAAGTGCTCTTGAACCCGGACCGTGCCTCTTGCTTGGCTTGGAGGACAGAGGGGTGAACCCCAGGGCGCACACGTGTGTAGAAACCACCCCATTGGGCAAACGTCAATCTTAGTCGCCCCACCTACTTTTCCCTCTGGCCCTGCCCCAAGGCTACCCAGAAGCGGATGCGAATCTCAGGCTGAGAACCTGCATTGCAGGGGGTTGGACTAGATGACCCCTGGGTTCCCTTCTGACTCTACGATTCCTTGAAACGGCATTTACTAGCTCATCCTGCCCTCCAACATCCTGCTGATCAAAATCAGGACACTCGGGTTTTTTGGGACCAAAACTCTGCAGGAGCGGAGAGGGCTCTTGTGTTCGAATCCTGCTTGCGGGTTCCCTCCCCAGGCCGCTGGACTAGAATGCATCCCTTCTGGCCTGATCCTGCTGCAGCGCCCTGGTTAGATGCCCCAAACCAAACCCATTCGGAAGCCGGGAGGTCCATTAGGTCCAGTTGTGGCCGACTCTGGGGTTGCGGCGCTCATCTCGCTTTATTGGCTGAGGGAGCCGACGTACAGCTTCCGGGTCATGTGGCCAGCAGGACTAAGCCGCTTCTGGCGAACCAGAGCAGCGCACGGAAACGCCGCTTACCTTCCTGCCAGAGCGGTACCTATTTATCTGCTTGCACTTTGACGTGCTTTTGAACTGCTAGATGGGCAGGAGCAGGAACCGAGCAACGGGAGCTCACCCCGTTGCAGGGATTCGAACCACTGACCTTCTGATCGGCAAGTCCTAGGCTCTGTGGTTTAACCCACAGCGCCACCCACATCCCAGTGTGTATACTTAGGTAAAGGTAAAGGACCCCTCTCCAGGTGTTATAGGTGTACGAGAAGAGGGTGTACCTGATGAGAGTGTGGCCTGCGCATGGAGCAAAAACACGTTGCGCAGGAGTTCAGCCTTGCTGGCATTTCCATCCCACTCACTTGCGCCTCATTTGCAGCAGCAGCAGCTTCTCCCTGCGGGCCGGATCATGTCCATCGCAAAATGGGAGCCTCATCCCCTCATTACCTTCCTTGCTTTTCTCCTCGGCGGGGACTTTGGCCACAAGACACTCGTACCGGGCCTGCGCCCCAAAACCGGCTTTCTTCAGCTCTGGGGAGGAAGCGGGAACGGGAGGGGCAGTAAAGCCTTTCAGCAATAAAACTGCCTCTTAGAGCCCCCTGTAGGTAATCCCATGACCACCTCTGGGGCCACAACCACCCCTGTAAAAGGGAAAAGGTAACTATGGGGTTGCGGCGCTCATCTCGCTTTCAGGCCAAGGGAGCCGGCGTTTGTCCGCAGACAGCTTTCCGGGTCATGTGGCCAGCATGACTAAACCACTTCTGGTGCAACGGAACACCATGACGGAAACCAGAGAGCATGGAAACACCGTTTACCTGGTGTGGTAACTATTTATCTACTTGCACTGGTGGTAACTATTTATCTACTTGCACTGGTGTGCTTTAGAACTGCTAGGTTGGCAGGAGCTGGGACAGAGCAACGGGAGCTCACCCCATTGCGGGGATTCGAACTGCCGACCTTCCGACTGGCAGTGGTTTAGACCACAGTGCCACCTGTATCCTTACCATATGTGCCCAGGGGTTTTTTAAAAATTTATTTCAGCGAAGGATTGTGTTATGTGCTGAGTTGAATAGGATCCAGAATGCAGCAGTCTGATTGGTCCTAGAACAATAGGATCCAGAATGCAGCGGTCTGATTGGCCATAGAACAATAGGATCCAGAATGCAGCAGTCTGATTGGTCCTAGAACAATAGGATCCAGAATGCAGCGGTCTGATTGGCCATAGAACAATAGGATCCAAAAGGCAGCAGTCTGATTGGTCCTAGAACAATAGGATTCAGAATGCAGCGGTCTGATTGGTCCTAGAACAATAGGATCCAGAATGCAGCAGTCTGATTGGCCCTAGAACAATAGGATCCAAAAGGCAGCAGTCTGATTGGTCCTAGAACAATAGGATTCTGAATGCAGCAGTCTGATTGGTCCACAGGAGCCACCCAATCCAGCTCCAGGTGGAAGTGAATCCGCAACCTGATTGGCCTACAGGTGAATCCCGGAATTAGCCAATCACGTGGGGCCCGTTGTGTAAATAATGTATATAAAGCAGACATTCTGGGGGAACTTCCATTCCTCCTCACCTCTATGAGCTGAATAAAGAGCATGAAATCCACTCTCGACTCCGAGTATATTTCAGATTGAGTTGGCCAGGCTCTTGCTTCCGCTCGCCCTAGGCGACCCCCGTTGGGCTCCGAAACCCCTTTTTTGAAGCCCAGGCTGCCTGCTTGCCCTCTAACCGATCTCTCCTACGTCAAACCACCCACAGGACTGCAAAACAGCCCCCACATTCCTCCTCCTCCCCGCGTTGGAGAAGCAAATTCTCCTTCGCTCGCCCCAGTTCTCCTGGCCTGCAGGCTATAGCGCGATGCACAGTGCGATGGGTGTGTCTGTGCGTTTGTGTAGATATAATTAGCATCTGCTTCTCACATCTCGGATGCTGCTGACACCCAGCTGCGCAGATGTTACCGTCACCACCCCCCCCGGCCCAAATCCGACCCCCACCCTGTGCGGCGCTGCTTCCCCAAATCACACCCTGTCACAAACCAGGGTGCAGGGCGAGATTCGCACACAGGCCCGGCAGCGCCTATTTTGACTCACCCTCTCTCTCTCTCAGGACAAAGCGAAAAGGAAAGGAAATAGAAAGCCACCCGCCAGCTCACGAGTGAGAAAGGGGAGTTTGGGCGGAAAGCCGTCCTTGAATGAGACACCGTGAGGCCTTATAGACCAACCCGGAAAGGCCATGAAGCTTATTAAGTTGCAATGCAAAGCTCACTGAATTATAAAGCACCCAAGCAGGTGGGCGGACGGACTTTGGCCCTGTTGGACAGTGGGAAGGACTCCCTCACAG